TTTCTCTGTATCTATGAAGCGCCTTGAGGCGACATTTGTTGTGATTTGGCGCTATATAAATAAAATTGAATTGAATTGAATTGAATCAGAGAACATAAAATGCCAAAGATGTTCAGCAACTTCAAGCGATAATAGGAGAAGTGAGTGGGCCCCTCGAGCATGAGCAAATGCAGCAAATACCAACAATGGCGACCCCCACATATGTTGATCAACATATGAGGGGGTGGCAAATAAATTAGAAGGTTACCTAGGCAACCGAGGGCTGAATTGTCCAAAAGCAACCAACCATCGAATGACCAACAGGATGAGGAGGCATGTAACTGATAGCTGGAAAATTTGCCATTTTGCACACCTTCATCTATTTTTCCTGTCTCTGCATAAAACTGAGCTGTAGAGCTCCGTCTCTAATTGTCATCATGGGTTTTTGCTTTGCAACATGATGCAAATTTGAGTTCAAAATTTTTAACCTGTGCAAATGCAGCTTCGCCTCTGTTTGCATTGCCCAGTGTGAATTTGCATCAAATCACCTCATGGGATTGAAAACGTGTTCGCGGTTTGAAGGTTTTCAGACTTTCTGATTTCTGTCATGACATTTCCTTAAGATTCATTCTGTCTTACTCCATGTGCTATAACCAAGAGACTATGTTGGCAGTTCACTGACCTTATAACCAAACTATTTATCTCACATAACTTTTACTAATTTTCTGGTACGATGCAATAATACGATAGAATATATTTGCATTTTTTTTTAATTCAACAAAAAAAAAAACCTCATGGTGCCAAATCACTGGGAGGAGGAGCTCTTACCTGATGATGTAGAATATAGCTGACAGCACAAGCTCATTGTGAACAGCGATGGCCATGTAGCGAGGCTCGTGGAAGGCCGACGGCACAGTCCTCACGGCGTAACACAGATAGACCGCCCACAGCAGGAAGAGGAACTCGGCTGGGAAGCGAAAAAACAGAAAAGAAGCATTAAACACAGCGAATGCTCTGGCCAAGAAATCATTTCAATGCGGCTCGCACTCCTTACATGGGCACCAACCAACCAGCCACTTCACACTCCAGCGCACACATGGAGCTGCCACAGATGGTTGTAAAACACACGTATACAGGAAAGTGGCCTGCTCGACAGACTCATTTGCAACAGCTGTGGTTGTATTCTCAGGGCATTAAATGAGTCCCCGTGCACCTCCGCGGCAGCCTCGCATAAGGTTTCCAAGGTATCCAGCTCCGCAACTGTAAACACGCCAGGTTGCTGCCTGTGAGGGCAAGTGAATCATGTTTCCTTACAATAGGAACAACAATCACTGCAAAGTGACTCATTACTGTAAACGCCTCCCTGTCCATTGGACTTCTTTTTTTAAATAATTAGATCTCAAACTTTTATTTTTGTAAGTAAAACTATTTACTCGAGACAACAATAGAAAGAAATTTGTTTTCTCTGTTTCTTGAAATAAAATAGCGAGTGAGAGCAACGAGGGAAATCTAACTCTTTTTTTAATGGTCTATTCAGAGCATTTGTAAATTATTTATCAGTAGTTCCAGCATATTAATCCTTCAAAATGGGCAGATTTTTAAATTTTTTTGTACTTGATTTTTTTTTTTTTTTACAGTGTTACACAAAAAATGTTTCTGGTACGTTAGCAACTAAAAGACTTCACTCACAAGTTTAGCTACCTCAAAGCCTTTTCTTTTTTTTCACCATATATTCTGTTACATAATATAACTTCTATAGAAACTTTCTTTTTTTGTAATCTATCATGAACCTCCATACAGTTTAGAGTGGGCTTTGTGAAACCAATTATACAGAGGATTTGCAGACAAAGAACTGCTAAGCCAATGACATTAACTCATCCCTGTGTATGAACACTTCTAGTGAAACTGGGACCATTTTCCTTCAAAATAAAAGCTGCACCTTTTCTACTTTGATGGGGAGCCTTCTCCATTTCCAGTTTGCGTTGCACTTTTGCTAACTACAATCACTTGGGTAGCAGTTAGCAAGTATTTGCAGCCAAGCTGTTCGTTGCAAATTACAGGTGACCATGGCAACCTACTAGCGACCAAAGCAATCATAATGAGCTTCTTAGTGCAGCATATCATATTCAATATGTTGAATAACGTGCACGCATGATATCACATGAAGAAAAAGAAACCTCTCTAGGTTGTATGGTGCAATATTTTTTAAAAATGCTTACTACTAACTTACTAATTTCTATAATGTAATTAGTGTTCCTGTGTTCTATGATATTTAACCTTGTCATGGGTGTCGCACCAGCATGTGATTTGCACGAGAGGCTGTGTGAGGGATGAGGAAGAGGAGTGTGCAAAAGAAGTGTGTTCTCTTACCATAACTGCTGATAACTGCTTTTTACTGTTTTTATGTTTATAAAGTTAGACTGCACAAGATTAATACAAGAATCCCAGTGTGCCTGTACTGTCCTCTACCCCTGCACATGCAAGCACATGATAACAACTACTGAAAGTGCAGTTTTGCTGCATGCTTAGGTCTTAACAATTAGTCTTTATTCGATAGGAGCTCATTTTTTATGGGATTGTTTCTGCGCAGAAACACAGCAAAGCAGAAAATACTACAATTATATCTCTTGCTGCGAGCAAATGCAGGTGTGGATTTCTAAATCTGAAAGATTTATTGCATCTCTGTGGGTGTAAATTATAAGCTGCATTCAGGTGGCATCAGAGTTGCCCCGCACATCCTTATTGCCAACCTATTTTTACCTCCTAATAAACAGAATGAAAATGTGTCCTCAGTATACAGTAGCGCAGCATGGCGGCCCGGCTGGGGGTCCATCTGTTTTCCCAGAACTCTAAAACGACCACAGTGCTCTCTCATGAAGCCTGAGTCAGCAGACATACACCAGCATGCAGACTTGCTCAAAGTGAGATGCTGCTCTCAAAGCATCTTTGATTTCTCATCTGTCTTCATCTGCTGCTGGTTGCCCTTCCCCTCCTGTGTACAACACAGGAAAGCATCCAAAAGCGTAGCACCAGTAGAGAGGATTAATGTCTTCTTTTGGGAAACATTTCCAAATGTACATGGAAGGGAGTTGTCTTAATCATCCAGCTTCACCCCATCACTCATTCTTCCCTCATCTCACTTTCAACTCCCATCGCTATCATGCCTAACAAATCACTTCTTAATTTCACGTGTCCATCAAGTAACCCACGTTTCCTCACCACACTACGCACATGCAGAGTGCGGCACATTGAAATCAACTCACAGCGCCCTGCAGAGGCAGAGGGCAGTAACGGTACTTACCAACAGCCATCATATAGTCCCAGCGATCCAGGAGGCACATGCTGAACTGCAGCCCATTGGGCGTGTAGCCCACCTCGATGAGAGCCAACTTCCTGTCCGGGTTTTGACAGACAGCAGATGTCCAAGCCACCAGGAACCAGCAGACGATGAGCAGAATGATGCCCAGCAGACGTAGCACTCGCCAGCTGGTCATATAGGGGATCCTCTGGGCTGTACGAGACAGGAACACCTTCAGCACCCTGTGGAGGGAGAAGCTCACATTGAGACTGTTTCACAAAGTTTCATGTAAGCCTGTCGTCATTTCAAGTAAACAGAGTATCCATGAGAGGGAAATACCTCTACACTCAGTGTGCCTTGAGTGTATTTATCTTTTTATTTCCCATATCTGCTAGAATTTGAAACCTTCTACATGCAAAAGCTTTAAGCAAAAAATACATCACAGCTGCTTTACACACTGGTTTATTAGTCTATGGCAATATTAGTATCGGAAAAATATTGCTTCCACAATATGAGATTATTTTGCTTTAATTTTAAGTGTTTGACATAAATACTGAACAGAAAACTAGTATTTCCATTTTCATAGACTCTTATTAAGCTTTATAGCAGCCATTTCCAAAGTCAAGAGTGCTGCGGCCCACTTAAAAACCAGAAAATCCCAAGGGGCCCACTCATTCTTAAATCTTCACTTTAATCAAAATGCAAGAGAAAGTGATGTGTTTCCTTGAAAGGTTTTATTCCAAAAAACATAAACAACGCAGGCTGTTAAGGCTATAAATTGTTGATGCTACTTGGGTGTATGCAAAGTGTTTAGGTCAGTGTGTGACCCATCTTCCTCCTTGGACATGAACTTCACGCACCTGTGCCAATAGGAGTCACTGAACTGAAACTCTCTGCTGTGCTATTGCAGCCTTTCAAAGGATTTTTATTATGTGCTGCTGTGTCCAAACAAACACGGTGAAAACGCCGACGTCAACTCTGTGATCAAAAGTGGGCCGGGCAAAAAAATTAACCGTGATGGTGGATGCTGATGTAAAATATTAGTCTAGTCATGCTGTCTCTTGCAAAATGAGAAGTATACGTCATATTACTGCAATGAAGGACTTGAATGTACATGTATAATCAAATGACCTTTGGCCAAAGTGGAAAGGAAAAACTCCCTTTTAACAGGAAGAAACCTCCGTCAGAACCAGACTCAGGGAAAGGCGGTTGGGGAGAGAGAAGGAAGACAGTATTAAAGAACTAGTATTATGTGGAGAGCAGTGAGGCTTCGAAAGCACTGGGTCACATCGTGATGGCTGTGTCCATCTTTTATGCTATCTATTGTAACCACTGCTTCAAACCTGCACATCTCACTGTGTGAGGCTAACTGTGATCCAGAATCCCTATCTAAGGGAATGGTTCTCAGTTTGTCAAAAGACAAAACAAGTCACTAGTAACCTCTTGCTTACTTATCCTGCATAAATCATAGTTTTATCAGATGGTTTTATATGGATGAATTTACCTTTATTAGCACCATTTCCTGTGAACTGGCTCCAACATGCTCAGAATTGATGCTTTTCTCGACCATATTAGTTCATGAAATTTAACCAAGACAGTTTATCTGCCTTAAACTTACTAAACATAACAAAAAAAGCTGAGTAGGGTTGAGCGATTGTACGAATATATCAACTAGGCTGAGGCCATCGGTGATCGTTTTTACAAGGTCGATTTATTTATTTATTTGCCCATGAGTAAGTTTGCTAATAATGATGGAGCTAATAGAAGCAGTCAACAGGCAAAAAAATAATAGCGCTGTTTTAACAGCCCCTTTTTCATCTGTGAGCAAATGCACGCTCCTAAATTCTGCGCCCAAATGCATGTTGATGGAGCTGCAGAAGTTGGTGATAGTCTTGCATACTCAGCCGCATGGTGGACACGTACACGCTAATGCAAGTTAGTCGTGTTTGAGTACTTTGTTCACACTATACGTCTGCACAAGCGGCACACCGCTTAGGTTTACCTCTTTCATCCCAAATTGGCAACTTTATACTTTTTTTAGTGCTGTCAGCATTAACGCGCCGTAATCACGACTAACGCGATTAACAATTAACCCATCTGGAGCACAGACTGAGTCAAAGTCCCTGAAATGTCTCTGTCAATGCATTTCAGGCAGTTTGTCCAAAGTTTGTTCATTCTGCACTCCAGATGGGTTGAGCGGTTTAAAAATTTTAATTGTGATGACCACATTAACGCTGACAGCCCTAATTCTTTGGGGAAATGAGTTCATCCATGTTTGGCCTTCTGTGTTAAACAGCAAATCAGTCCGTGCATGATTACATTGCTCCGCCCATCAAAAAGTCTGCGCATACGCAAATATATCGCCGATCGTCGATTATTGGACTGACGGTTGTCGGTTGGAAAATTTTTACATATCACCCAACACTGGAGCTGAGTGATCAGAAAAGAAAAAAAAACAAAGTAAACTTATTGTTTGTCACCTCACTAAATGAGTGAAATTTTACACTATTTATTTTAAAAAAATGCTAATATGTTGCAAACTTATTTAAGGACTTTGGTTTAAAAGAAAGTTTGCCTTGAGGTATGATTAAATGACATGTCAAGACTTTTTCCTGACTTCCTGCAAAGCAGCGCAGCAGAAAAAAAACTGCTAGCCATCACATTTGCAGCACTTATTCCACCTGCCAAATCCACAGACTGTGGAACATGAGTTAAACTCTGCTCAAACACATCACCGGCATAGCTATTCTTAGGCTCTGCCCTTCACGCACATTGATGAAGTGTCCACTGCTCTCTCCACTAATGAGCCCCCCATCAAAAATTGATCTGTGCAATATGTTAACTTGCACCTCTAAGGGTGAACTGGGCCCCGGCTCGTGTTAGCCACATCCTCTTAATCAGTATCTCCATTAGAGCATTTTGACAGATTCACCTGACAAAAAAAGGCCCACAAATGAAGAATTTCATCACTGTCACTTTAAATACAGCGGACCAACCTGTCTCATTAACAGCTATTCACAGCTGGAGAACTCCCCCCCAACACCACTCCACTGCATCCTCTGGCGATGCTTTCTGTTCCTGAGTTCTGTTTTTGTCTTTTTCTCAGCAACTGTCATTCAGGACTTTGTTAAATATGGAGCTCATTTGGGGCCAATGCGCTCCGTGTTTTCTTAATTACTTTACCACTTAATGAGGCAGTATAGCCTGGCGATGAAGTAGCTGAAAAACACGCTGCCTTGACACATTACAGGACTCTTTATCAAAGGATTAAGAGGTCAGATGCAATGTAATCTGATAAGTGCTTCCAGGGATGGATAACAGTGTCGAACTGTGGGTGAAGTACCTGTACAACTTAAGAGTCAGCATCCCGTAGACGGTAGCGAAACCCAGCAGTCGAACCCAGCGCAGAAGGATGCAGCGGAAAACACTGGGCTGGAAGTAGAGAATCCCAACCTGGAAGAGGACAGAAGAAGCATTAAACAACAAAGGTTGTGAAAAGAAACTGAAAAATAAATAAATAAATAAAAGAGCCACCCAGCTGTGAGTGTTTTTTCTATCTAAATGATAATGGGCCCTCTTTCCCTGGGAAATTACATTTAAATTCGTGGGAAGCTGCTGCCTCATTGTGCTCTCAGTGGACGTCTCTATAAACAGTAAAGTAATCTTATTTAAATGTTGGTTTTCTCCAACTGTTCTCCTTTGGTGTCGCACAAGTGAATGAGTGGGTTTATGCAGTTTAGTTTACTGTACACCCTATCGCACATTAAGTCCCTCTATAATCAGTTACTTGCTTTGTTTCACCACAGAATCTACTCATGACGCTATTTTGCTTGTGTTCTCTAAACCTTTTCTATTTCCTCTGCCTCCTTTCATCCATCAAAGGGAATTTAAAATACAGCAAAAGTGACCATCAGTGTGTATTGCCGATGCTGCAGATGAACTCAGTGTGTTTTGGGGCTGTGAACTTTTTTTTTTATAGTGGTTTTTGTCAGCAGATGGTGTTTCCAGGGATGTCATAAATGTGTTGACATAAAAGATCAAATGCTGCTTGAATTCTTGGACCTTTTTGCTCATTTCATGCCAAAAAAAAAAAAAAGCACCAAATATTTATTTTTTCTCATATGCTACAAAGAGCAGCTCCATCTGCTGATGAAGATCATGTGCTATGATCAAAAGGTCTGGGCATCAGTTGAGCGCATACACTTGGACTTACTTCTAGGACTCTCAAGGATCAAAAGTTTTGACTGTACTAAAATTACTATGGCTAAACAGCTGCTGTGCTTGCTTCTCAATAATGAAAAAGTAGCATTTGTTGAGCACTTTTCTAGTCTGATTGAGCACTAAAAAGTACCTAACAGATACAATATGTACGACAGCTGCAGAAACAACACAAGGTTTGCTCCAGTAAAAGGTATAAGATTGCTTTCTTAGAATAATACTTTAAAAAGCTTGTTGGTGTACGGCAAAACTATGTGCCAATGATCAGGTTCCCTTGATGAAAAAATAAATAAATAAATAAATAAAAACTTCAGAAAGTTTATGGTCCAGGTATGTTGATATACAACCTATTCAAGAAGGGGCAGTGTCAAACAGAACAATAAGTGGACACGACCACCAAAAATGAAATCCAGAGGAAATGATGTGCTCACAGTTGCTATGAGACAGAAAGGATAGTAACTAACTAAACGAATATATAACAAAGTTACAAAATATAACAAAATAACTACAAATAGCTGAAATTATAAATATTCTAGTATTATTAAATATGCACGCAGTGTTACTGTATATGCATATCGTAAAATTAAATATGCATACTTGACGTTGGGGTGCCCATCTTACCATATTGTCAGCACCCTGTGAAGCCCAGTAAGTAAAGGGGCTTAAGCTCGCGGTTACATCCAGTAACTACTATTTTATTATTATTTTCACTGTATATTTTTCCCTTTGACACATTTTAAGGGTATAACCACTCATTTGTAATTATCTTACAAGCTTTATTAACAACCATAACAAGAACAATGTTGACACTGCATATCAAGGCTGAAAATTCCCTCCACATTGTACATGGATTGACCCCCTAAATCTAGAAGGGTATCTGGATGAGATAATGAGGACATTAAGACAATACCTCCAAAACTTCGTGTTCAAGTGACATTAATTTATCACATATGTTTGTGAAAGGACATAAAATCTAGATCCAGGTCTACATATAAAGTTACAGGTCCATTTCTGCTAAAATCTGAATGCAAATCCAACCATAACCTTTTGAGAAATGTCACTAAAAGATAAAAAAAAAAAAAAATCAAACCAAACCAAACACATATCGCAAAGGAACCAAGCTAATAAATTAATAATGCTAATAATTTAATAACTTAATAGAAGATTACTTAAAACACTGATTATATTTGAATCTCGAGAATTGCCAGTCATCGTTTTATGAGCAAGATAAAGCAGTGTGTGTGTGTGTGTGTGTGTGTTATATGTGCATTCAGCGCTCTATCTCATTTATAAATAATTGTTTCAGCTTGGCCAACCTTTGGTAAAAGTTTGAGCTAAACTTTCACCAGGCTGGAATTGGTTGTCACTACTTTTTAGTGTGATTTTTAATCTTCAATTGAAAAACAAAAGAAAGAGATTATATTGAGGGCCGGTATGAATATCACAGTGTTGTTGGTGATTTGATGAATTTAATGTTTAGCTCTTCCAGTCTGGCAGAATGAAACTCATCCAGGAATAGTCTCCCAATCTTTCGGGATTTAAATCCGCATTCATCTCTTTAGTGCATTGTTTGAACTCCAACACACAGCGACTCAGCTCAGATAATCTTTGAAAGAAACCTTCTGTTAACAGGATAACATCATAATGAGTGACTGACGCTTACCGCCTCGCTCCTAAAATGCCTCACACACATCGTCAGGGTTCAGCCAGTGCTTTGATATTGTTGCGAGCGTACAAGTAAACAACCCTTACACTACAATGATTGCATAATAGAGCAATTAGGAATGAAAAACAACTGACATGTTCTGCACATAGTGTCTCAGATATAACACTCAATGGATAAATGTCTAAGAAAGAAACAGGTAGAGAAATTTCTATTAATTAGCATTATTTTTTCCAATAATTATAACTATAGTACAACTAATAGTAGTACTACTGCTGCTGCCACTATTACGGGAGTCATTTTCATGAGAAATTTACCTTTTATACATCAAAGAGAAAATCCATGAACTGAATTAGTCATAACAGTAAAGTGCAGTGACATTTCATAACCATCCTTGGCATTATTTTAAAACAATCATCATAGAAAGCTTGCCCTTGAGACACAGAGGGCATCCTCCTATGTTACACCTTCACAAGTAGATTCTTCTACAAAGACCTGAGCATGCTAAACAGTGCCCATCCATGCTGGTAAAAAAATGCTGATGGTCTTCCAAAGACATAAAAAGAGCCAGAACAAACAGAGAGAAAAAAGAAACAAACATCTGAGGCGACGTAATTATCTGTCCGTTGCAGATGTGCAGAGATTTCCCCTGTGGGATTGTTAATGTTAATCGGATTAGCTGAGGCATTAATACGTTCCCTCAGGCAGCGGCGAAGACGCAGGCATGTGGATATTTTTGCTCACTAGGTTCGAGTCAGTTAAGGGACACAGAGGACCCCACGGGAGGAACGGTGGCCCACATCTTCATCTGCTCACAGAGTCTGGAAGACCAACTGGAGAAACTTCTGATTCAAACAAAGCATGAACAGTTTGACTCGATTTTGCAAAAGGAACGTTGTGCTGAGGAAATAAAGACTTAAAGAGTGCTGAGCTGTTCATTTTCAATACATACAAGGTGCTTAATACTATATCTACTGTCAATATGTTTTTAAAAAGCCTTTTTTTTTTAAACAGGTGGGATTAACATAAATATCTACATAACAATGTGTGACTGCTCCTCAATGCATTACCTTTTTCACAAAATAAAGAACAGTGGAACAGGAGCTGATAAAAAGATAGCCAGGCTGCCGCTGAGCAACTTGCTGACGCACGTTTGGCTCCACGGGGACAGGAGAGGGCACAGGAAGAGGAGTAAAAATGCACAATGGGAAAACACAGCTCAGGACTTCCTTTTAGATAAACTACCAAATAGCATCTGAATCTCCATCACGTGCCAGTTTTAAGACGGGTGTTGTTTGTGATGAGACGGAAACGGGGAGGTGTTATCTGCCACATTCTTCCCTTGAGGGCTGGCTTTAAATGATCTGAATAAGCTGTCATAAAAAACTTTTTTACACATTTAGCAGTCTGAGCTTCTCTTTTAATGGTGCGATCTCACCTCTGGTTATTTTAATGGCTCACAACAAGAAACAAAAAGTGATGGATATGTACAAACATGTAAGACATCCTTTTCATCCTTCTCTCCCTGCAGTCGTGAATTGGATAATGGATGGATGGTGTGTTGTGGTCTTACTACAGTTCGAATGACTCGCTGGTGATACAAACATGGTGGAGAGGTCTAGTTCAATGACTTCAATGTCACTGCACCTCCAAGAACTCGGCTGTTAAACTCCTAAAGTTTGCAGATGACACCACTGTCATTGGCCTCATTCAGGATGGTGATGAGTCTGCATAC